TATGTGGCTACAACTCCTAACGAGCAAGGATGAGATGGCGGAGGCGATCAAGAAGTTCAAGGCGCGCGTGGAAGCGGAGAGCGGTAAGAAGTTGCGCATGATGCGGACTGATCGCGGCGGCGAATTCAGTTCGGTGGAGTTCGTTGTGTACTGCGCGGATCAGGGTGTGGTGCAACACCACACCATGTCGTACTCGCCATAGCAGAATGGCATGGTAGATCGGTGGAACCAGACGGTGGTCGACATGGCTTGATCCATGATGAAGGCCAAGAGCTTGCCGACAAGGTTCTGGAGTGAAGAGGTGACCACGTCGGTGTTCATCCTCAACCGCGCGCCCACCAAGGCCCTAAAGGGCAAGACGCCGTTCGAAGCTTGGTATGGGTGCAAGCTGAGCGTGTCCTTCATCCAGACATTCGGCTGTATCGGCCACGTTAGGAAGACGAAGCCGGTCCTCACCAAGCTGGAGGACAGGAGCACATCAATGGTGCTCCTAGGCTATGAGGAAGGTACCAAGGCATACCGGCTCTATGACCCACGTGGAGGCAAGGTGGTTGTCTCACGCGACGTCGTGTTCCACGAGAAGGCGGCCTAGGACTGGGACAGTCCGGGCATAGGGGAAGTTGGCAGCTTCACCAGCACCTTTATCGTCGAGCACTTGGTCATCCACGGTGGTGGAGACGCTAGAGAGGAGGTGCCAACCACTCCAGCAACAAAGCCGAGCACTCCTAGGGCGGGGCTGAGCACGCCAGGAGGAGTGCCGAGCACTCCAAGAGTGGTGCCGACCAGTCCAGGACGGGTGCCGAACGCTCCCATAGTAGAGCCGAGAGGTCTTGCAGTAGTGTCAACCACTCCAAGACTGGTGCTGAGCACTCCTATAGTGGTGCCAACCACTCCAGGAGTGGTGATGTGTGGTCCAGGAGTAGTGCTGAGCACAGCAGCCGGTGTGCCAAGCACTCTAGGTGCTGTGCCGACCACTTTGGCGGAAAAAGGGACTGCATCGACGTCGATCCAGTTCGCCTCACCTCCAAGCGACATCACTGAGTTCATGGATGCCTTCCATGACGATGACGAGGTGCAGTTCTATAGGATGGATGACATCGTCAGTAGCACGGGGTGCTCAAGCCTAATGGGTCGGCTGCTCAATGACCCAGAGTTAGTTCTCATCAATGCAGAGGAACCACCCGCGTTTGCGCTGATCGAGCGCGATGCAAATTGGCGATGGGCGATGCTGGAGGAGATGAAGGTGATCGAGGAAAACGAGACTTGGGAGCTCGTCCATCCACCTCCAAGATGTCGTCCGATCGGCCTGAAGTGGGTGTACAAGGTCAAGTGGGACGAGCGCGGCGCCATTGTCAAGCACAAGGCACGCCTCGTCGCCCGAGGCTTTATCTAGCACGAGGGCATCGACTTCGAGGAAGTCTTTGCACCGGTATCGCACATGGAGTCTATCCGACTACTGCTGCCTTTTGTAGCTGCGAAGGACTAGCACGTCCATCACCTGGACATAAAATTGGCCTTCCTCAATGGCGAGCTGGCGGAGATAGTCTTCGTTAGACAACCTCCGGGTTTCGCCATCAAGGGAGCGGAGCATAGGGTGCTTCGACTGCGTAAGGCGCTCTATGGGCTACGATAGTCCCCACGAGCATGGAACGCCAAGCTTGACGCCATGCTGGGCGAGCTTGGGTTCACGCGGTGCGCAACTGAGCACGCGCTGTACACGCAGCGATGGGGAAGGAGGAGCTCATTGTCGGCGTGTATGTGGATGACTTGATCGTCACCAGCGCGCATGCAGAGGACATCGACAACTTTAAGCGTGAGATGGTGGCTCATTTTTGAATGAGCGATCTTGGCGTGCTATCCTACTACCTCGGCATCGAGGTGAGATAGGGGAAGGAGGTGCTCACGCTCGGTCAGAGAGCATATGCCTCAAAGCTGTTGGAGCGAAGCAGTAGGGCTAAGTGCAAGCCGTGCATGACTCCGATGGAGGAGCGGCTGAAGCTAACGAAGGCCTGTACCACAGCAAAGGTAGATGCAACACTGTACTGGAGCATCGTCGGCGGTCTGAGCTACCTAGTCCACACAAGGCCAGACATTACATTTGCCATGGGCTACGTCAGTCACTTCATGGAGGATTCCTGAGAGGATCACTGGGCCACGGTGAAGCGACTGCTGCGCTACATCAAGGGTACGATAGATCAGGTGATCATCTTTCCTAAGACCGGCAGAAGTGGGCTGCAGCTCACTGTGTTCAGCGATGCAGACATGGCGGGAGACATCAACGGATGGTGGAGCACCTGTGGCGTGCTCGTCTTCCTCGGGTCGGCTCCAATCTCATGGCTATCGCTGAAACATAAGGTGGTGGCACTGTCCACGTGTGAGGCAGAGTACGTGGCGGCGGCCATAGTAGCGTGCCAAGCTGTGTGGCTACGCCGGTTGCTGGTCTAGCTGACTAGTGTGGAAGCTCACCCACCAGCACTGATGGTGGACAACCAGCCCGCCATTGCCCTCGCGAAGAATCTGGTTCTCCATGACCGGAGCAAGCACATTGACATCAAGTTCAACTTCCTTATGGACTGTGTTGATGGAGGGCAGATCATCATTGAGCTTGTCAAAACTGGTCGGCAACTCTCGGACGTCCTCGCCAAGCCACTTGGCCGTCTTTGGTTCACGGAGCTGAAGAAGATGATTGGCATGGTGGAGGTTCTAGGGTTAGCAGTAGGATTAAGAGAAGAATTATAAAGTAATCTGCTACTCCATCGCCTGTACGCGTGGTAGGGGCAGGCACCGAAAGGGCTCCCCTGCTGCTGCACTATAGCTATGGCAGGGGCAGGCGCCGAAAAGCTCCCCTGCCGCATTGTAGCCACAGCTGGGGTAGGCGCCAATGTCAGCCCTGCTGTCACATCTAGTCACTATAGCAGCCTGGCAACCTGGCATGTCTGTGTACTAGGATTAGATGGATAGAGTTGTATATATAGCTTACCACTGCAACTCAGTAAAGTTGAGCGAGTTTAGTTTTGCCATCTCCTCTGTAGAGCTCCAGCCAACGCTGGTGCTTGTGCTGTGTGTGTGCATGTGCTCTGTTCTCCCTTCCTTCTTCTACCTCCAGCCGTAGTGTGTGTGGTTGACAACGACGGTGAGCGGTCGGCTCACCCGTGCTTGAGATCTTGGGACCAACAAGTGGTATTAGAGTCGTACAAGCGCCGTCGTCGGACTAACCGCTGACGATGACGGATGGTTTGGAGATGGGCGACAGCAGCGGCGCTGCTGTGGCTGCCCAGCCATGACAGGAGGTCGTCGTGCGCACGGTGCGGGAGGTCAGCGGCACTAGTTGGACAACGCTGACTCGCACCAACTGTGATGAGTGAGCGGTGACCATGAAGGTCAAGCTCAGAGCTCGATGACTCTGGAATGCCATTGACAAGGGCACCGATAACGAAGAAGACGACATGTCAGCATTGGAGGCTATCCTCGCTACTGTGCCAGCGGAGTACAGGGAGCCGTTGGGGGCTAAGAACTCTGCTAAGGAGGCGTGGGAGGCTATTGCAGCGATGCGCGTCGGCTCCGACCGCGCAATGAAGGCGATGGCCCAGCTGCTAAAGTAGGAGTACGCCACCCTCAAGTTCAAGGATGGTGAGTCAGTGGAGGACTTCTCCCTCCGCCTGCAGTCACTCATCAGCAAGCTGAGGAGCCACGGCGTCACCATCGACGAAGAAGAGGCGGTCTCCAAGTACCTCCACTCCGTGCCGATGAAGTACATCCAGATCGCTCTCTCCATAGAGACGATGCTGGACTTGACCGCCCTCACCATTGTGGATGTGACAGGCCGTGTACAGGCGGTGGACGAGCGCATGGAGCAGGCCATAGCAACAATGGACAGCGGCAAGCTGCTGCTGACAGAGGAGGAGTGGGCTGCCTAGAAGAAGTCCGGGGAAGCCTCCTCCAGCCGCGGTGGAGATTGCATGCGTCGCGGTAAGGCTTCTTCGGAGAAGAAGAAGAAGAAGAAGAAGGTCGACTCCAACGCCTGCCGGTGCTGCGGGAAGATGGACCATTGGGCAAAGGAGTGCCCAAATTGCAAGCAGGAGGAGGCTGAGGCTCATTTAGCGCAGGCTGATGAGGATGATGAGGCCACTCTCCTGATGGCGATGTTCTGTGAGGCCAAGATGAAGGGAGAGGTGATGGTGGTGAAAGGGCACGGCAAGGCTCTGAAGGTTGTCAACCTCGACGAATCGCGCGCCCAAGTCCACCTTGGACGTGTGGGCGGTGAACAGGAGCAGCAGTGGTACCTGGACTCCGGCGGCAACAACCACATGACGGGCTCCAAGGAAGCCTTCTCCGAGCTCGACGGTAACGGTGGAGGTTCTAAGGTTAGCAGCAGGATTAAGAGAAGAATTGTAAAGTAATCTACTGCTCACTCGCCTGTACGCACGGCAGGGGCAGGCGCCGAAAGGGTCCCCTGCTGCTGCATTGTAGCTGTGGCAGGGGCAGGCGCTGAAAGGCTCCCCTGCCGCACTGTAGCCATAGCAGGGGCAGGTGCCAAAATCAGTCCTGCTGTCACATCTAGTCACTGTAGCAGCATGGCAGCCTGACATGTCTGTGTACTAGGATTAGATAGGTAAAGTTGTATATATAGCTTCCCACTGCAACTTAGTAAAATTGAGCGAGTTCAGTTTTGCTATCTCCTCTGCAGAGCTCCGGCCAACGCTGGTGCTTGTGTTGTGTATGTGCGCTCTGTTCTCCCTTAATTTTTCTACCTCCAGCCGTAGTGTGTGTGGTCGGCAACGACGATGAGCGGTCGGCTCACCCGTGCCGGAGATCTCGGGACCAACAAAATCATAATGATACAATACCACATGAACTGGATTCTTGATACTGGTCACACAACTGAATGGTTCAATTCGCTAATTTAACAAAAACATTACTAAATATTTTTCTTTGTGCACAGATCGATGCACATATTCACTCATGACTCTTGTGCATCTTGTGTTGGACCCCCAACACACTCATATCTCCGGTAGTTCATCCGAAACAGACATGAGGAATTCAACATACTCTTCCACAAAGTTTCTCTCATGACTCTTGGAAAATGGTACACAGAGGGAGGACTGTGCTGCTGCTGTCTGCTCCCCATTTCGAACGGCAGCATCAGGATCCAGTAGTAGTTGGCCTGTGAAAACTGGAAGCTGAGGCAGCGGCCTTGGGTGATCTGCCGAGCTGTTGTGCGAGGTTGTGCTGCCATGATCAACTCGAACGTTTGAGGTAGCTGCTTGTTGATACAAATCCGCCTGCAGGTTGCCACCAGTGTTCATATCAGCGGCTCCCTCCCCAGCTGTTTGGTGCACTTCTGGTGGTGATTGGTAGTTGCCGCCGGTGTTCATCCTCTGCTGGAGCTTCTTCTTGATGCGTGAGTTCCAGTAGTTCTTGATCTCATTATCTGTCCTTCCAGGCATTCTTGCCGCAATCGCAGACCACCTATATTCACATGTAAAAAAGTACACAAGTTATATCCATTGCACATCATGCAGTTCCTATATAGGAGTATTGTTCATGCATGTGAGGGACGGAAGATGCATGGAAGGGATCAAAATATCCGAATGAACGAAAACAAACTTGCGCTACCTGTTTCCTAGGAGTTTCTGCAATGATACGATGAGGTCCTCTTCCTGCTTGGAGATGGGCTCCCTGATGAGATCTGGCTGCAGATAGTTCATCCATCTCAGTCTGCAGCTTTTCCCGCTCCTCTTCAGCCCTGCAGTGATAGATCCATAAATAGTTGAATGCTTTGTTAGTTTCCCATCCAATAACACGATGCAATCCTGCTGCTAAAACAAACACACATATATACAACAAGTACATATATAAGTATTTATTATATATATGCATGTGCCTGCCTGCTAGTTCGGCGACGGAGGACCAGGTTCCGACGCCGTAGTTTGTGATGTGGCTGTAAAGCCTCTCGTCCTCGTCAGGAGACCAGAGCCCCTTCCTCATCATCTTCTTGTCTTCCTTCGTCTCCAGCTGATCACTAACCATGGCTCTCTTTCTTCTCTCCATCTGTCCTTGCTACCTGCATATGCTTCTGCATTGTTCAAGCTACAATGTATATATGTTTAGCTTAACTGGAGAGCTAAGATCCGATCCATCTGAATTTTAAACGACAAATCACGGGCCTGCACTAGCTTGTGGTGGCACGTGCTTAAAAATATATAGTTGCGTGTGGTCCCTTAACATAACAGTCTGAGTTTACCAATACTAACACATAAGAGCATCTATTTCTACCAAAAAAAAAAAAAGAGCATCTATTTCTATACTAGGCTATGAACTTGCTAGCTGATGAATTGAATCATCTGAATGCAAGAAACGACGAGAGGAATCGAGTACTCAGAGGAATCCTTTGCTTATACCTAACATCTCAAGTTTGAATTTAGTTTGAACTTTCTTTGTTCAGTAGTTCAGCACTAGCATATGGCTAGTAGTTTAAGATAGTATGTGTAATGGTTGGTCTTGGCTCTGGACGTTTATTTGTGTTTCAAATTGAATCTGAGCTGATGCTGCTTTTGTTGACCTTCTTGTAGTACTTGCATTGCCATGTTTTAGTTCTCCTGGTTGCAGTTAGGCGTAGGTGTCTTCTTGCTGCTCTGGTCATGCAGTGGACATACATACAGTGCAAACTTGCTAACTTTGGCCTGTGAATTGTCGTTGCCATCATGTACAGTACTATGCAAGCACTTACTATATATTTAGTAAGACAGCAGTTTACCTATCTCCACGCATGCATGCACCTTGATTATTATTATTCTCGGTATGTACATCCCATGCAAGTGCCAAAGGTACGGTCACCCATGTGAGATTAATTCCTCCTGTCTTCTTGGCCGGCCGGCTGGGCTTCGTATATTATGCACATCAGCATGCACATGGATGTGTGTGTATATATGTAGCAGGAGCGAGTTGATACACTTGCATGCATATATATATCCTCATCCAGTATGATTCTTGCTGCTGTGAGAGACACATGCATAGGACAAGGCTGTGGCGGCACGCCGGTCCAATTGGAGAAAAAGAAAATAGGACTGGTTGTTAATTAGTTCCAAGGAATGACGTACTAGTACAAATTGTAAAGGTACATGTATATAGTATGTTGCTAATGCGAGCAACTCCTAAGACAATGCAACACTAATGCGAGCAAACATTTCTAGGCATGTATCTTTTTTCTTATGTATATCTACATTACAATGTACAACTCACTGTCCAGACGAACAATGCAATACTAATGCGAGCAACTCCTAAGACAATGCAACACTAATGCGAGCAAACATTTGCACCCTATATACGCCTAGACAGTAGACACATCATTTATATATCTTAGAAAAGTTAAAATAACTTACGATTTTGAAGGAATCCCATCTCCTAATGTTTGGCAATCACGCATATGCATTCCTCAACCGCTCCAATCCAGATAGAACAAAAAAAGAAATGTTTCATTTCACATCATCGATGTATATGGTTACACTCTGACCGGGAAAATGAGACTAGTCCAAGTTCATGCACCTCCGACCTTTGCATATGTGACGTTGGATGGCAGTAATCAAGCCATCCACAGTTATATATATCCACAGCCCCAATTATTGTATATACAACCCCGCCATCCAAAGAGAGATAACTGTTTGGAAAAACAAATGTAAGGAATTCTGTTTGAAATTTATCCACAAATCTATATATATCTTGTAAACGTAAACCTCAATATATAGCCTTCTGTCTCAACATGTAGGCCATCCATATCATCTCCCACTGAATAACCTGTCATGTTTACTAACTTTTAACCTCTTAATGCAAACTATCCATGTCAGGTCCACTACAATATATTGCTATTTTTGTTTTCTTATTTCATCATCTAACTCATACATGTAACAATTTTATTTCTAAGAAAGTCCCGCAGCAATGTATGGGGTTTCCTTCTAGTATAGGATTATTGATAAACTAATTAAGATACCACACATTACTTCATTTCACAAATATAAAACCGTCATGTGTATACAAATTATTACCATTTAAGGCCTGGGTTAGCCCAACAAGCGTCCTTCAAATTCACCAATCACTTGGGTTAGGCATGCTTCGATTTGGAACGTGTGGGCCCTTTCGTATCACCTTAATTAATCTTTCCAAAAAGTTAGGGAGTATTTTTTTTATCATGTGGCCGAAATTGACTTCCTGATGTGCTCTTTTATTGGGGAAAAGATTTTTCTGACGAAGGGAAGTTTTATTCTGGCCTCTGAATAATGATGCCATCAAATAGCAAAACTGCATCACAAATCTCAAAACTAAGCGCAAAGCATAATACTAATAGTGAACAGAGCGTAGCCATTCACACTTATATATATGTGTACAGCTAACCCTTGTATACTTACTCCATCCACATATATAAGGGATCTTAATTAGTGTCTGAAATTTATCCAGAAATATAAAGGATTCTAGGTAAACTAAGACAGCACACGTTAATTCATCTCCACAAATATAGGGCATGTGTGTATACGATTTATTGCGTTCAAGGCTGGGTTAGACGTGCCTTAATTAGGAACATGTGATGAGCCCCTTTGCTACCTATCTCTCTTAATTTGTCCTCATAATCCTAGGATTCACAGAATAAAACTTCACATGAATTCACCTAGCTATAGATGGTCAATTTATTAGAACAATATATATATAAAAAGGGAATCCTACTATTATTAGCACAAATTAGAGGTAATAGGTAGTGACATTTTCGTGAATTCTATCCATCTAGATCACACTACTTAGGGACAATTCCATGCATCATGCATGTCCCATCCTCCACCTCCCCCCCCTCCCCCCACACACACACACACACATCCCACCCACTCTGCTCCCATGTTTGTGCTGTCGCTACTCATACCATGGAGGGGCATTCAGTCGGTTCTCTCAACCACCCACGCACACAGCTGAACCAATTTTTCCTTACAAGAATTAAATCACATAGTCATTTTAGTGTTTATATACATATATATTGCTTTGCCTCACTCTACTTGTATATATAGCACTAAGGTGCATAAATCTTTATATTTCACTTTTCTAGGGAAAATGTCCCTGTGTACTGTCTCCATACCAAATTATAGCTCAATGGATTTAGCTTTGTCTAAGTCAAACTTCTCTAAGTTAATTTGACCAAATCTTTAAGAAAATATATTAACTTCTACAACTCAAATAATTTCACTATAAAAATATATTTCATCAAGAATTAATTAGGCTAAATTGATATTGTAGATTTTATAAACTTGATCAAAGTTAAAAACTTGACTTACGACAAAAGTTAGCATGAACGGAACATGATGAGTATAGGTAAGATTTATGCATATCCCTCGATTCGGTCCGAATGAAGGTGTAAAATAGACACACACGTATGAAGGACAGGGTGAGTTGAAAGTCTCAAGCCCTGGCTCGTGTGGTCGATGCCAATGCCACGTGGTCATGCACACGCCCATGCGTTCACACCGAGAAATGGATGCCTCACTGCTTCTTTTTATTCTTGCATGCGACTGCAGCATCATATATAACACACGTGCCAATTAAGCTCGATTGGTACACAGCACTGCATATATAACCATGTACACTCTAGTGGCCGAGCGAGAGCTACACTCTTCATGACAACACCTAGCTAGCTACAGCTCTCTCTCATTCTCGTCACCTACCTTAAAAAAGTTTAGCTTTCTCACTTCGTCAGAGAGAGTGACATTATTGACCCGAAAACTACCTGCACCAGTAGTAGTTACTTACTTCGCACACATTTAGCTGCTTGAGACAAAGGGCAATCACAATAATTGAGTACTTACTGATCGAATGGACAACAAGATCAGCAGCCTTGTCATGACGCCGCCCTGCCACTACCGGAAACCGGCTCTTTGCCGAGTGCTTTTATGTTTGCCGAGTGCATTCCCTCGGACACTCGGCAAAGAAGCTCTTTGTCGTGTGCTGAGCTAAAAACACTCGGGGAAAAAAAACACTCGGCAAAGAGTGTTTGCCGACTGTCAACAAAAAAACACTCGGCAAAGATATGGTTTGCCGAGTGTCAAAAAAAAACACTCGGCAAAGATATGGTTTGCCGAGTGTCCAAAAAAATAGTCGGCAAACAAATAAAATCATTTTTTTTAAAAAGAAGATGAATAAAAAAAATTGGAAAAAAAACTTTGCCGAGTGCTCAGATCTAGAACACTCGGCAAAGAAATAAAATATTTTTTTTGGAAAAGAAAAAGGAAAAAATTAAAAAAAAACTTTGTCGAGTGCTCAGATCTAAAACACTCGGCAAACAAATAAATAATCTTTTTTTGGAAACTTTGCCGAGTGTCCAGATCGGACACTCGGCAAACAAAAAAAAATCTCGTCAAATACCCCCCCCCCTCCGGACCGCCGCCGCCAGCGGCCGGCCCCCACTCCCTCTCTCGGTGGCGCCTCTCCCTCTCCACTCCGGCCTCCCTCTCCCTCTCCCTCTCCACTCCGGCCTCCCACTCCCTCTCTCGGTGGCGCCTCTCCTCCCTCCCTCGTCGCACAACCGGCGGATCCAGTTGGGGCGCTCACTAGCTAGGGCTGAGGCCTAGCGCGCCCGTCGCCGGCGGGGCTCCTCGTGTCCTGGCGGCTCCAAGGCAGCAACGCTCAAGCGGATCTACGTGGTGGAGGTACGGCAAGGGCGGATCTGCGAGGAGGTGCAGCGATGGCGGATCTGCGAGGAGGTCCAGTGGAGGTGGTGCATGAGGGTCGAGCGGGCTCCGTCGGTAGGCCCTAGAAGCGCTCGAGGGCCAGCCTCCTCCACCTCCGGCGACGCGCGGGCGAGATCCGACGACGGCTGGCCGCTCGACGCGTCCAGGTGCAGATCCGGTGGCGGCAGGCCGCTCGGCTCGTCCAGGTGCGGATCCGGCAACGGTAGATCCAGGACGGCGGCGACGGCGGATCCAGGACAGAGGGCGGTGTTGGCTTCGGGTCGGCGGCCAACGTCGGCTTCGGTGAAGTTCCTCGTGTGCACGCCGGTGGTTGGAGCGGCCGGCGGTGGTGGCCGGCCAGTGGTGGCGGTCGGTGCTTGTTTTTTTATTTTTTTTGAAAAAAAAGTTTGCTGAGTGTTTTTTGGGCACTTGGCAACGTCTTTGCCGAGTGCCCGACGAAAAACACTCGGCAAAGTTAGTTTGCCGATAAAATTTTTGCCGAGTGCCCTTTACTGAGTGTTACACTCGGCGAAGGATTTGCCGAGTGTATTTGTGGCTTTGCCGTGTGCCCAGCTCCCGTTCCCGGTAGTGTGCGGCCATGCATGGCTGGGAGATGATGGAGGCCATGAGGAGGCAGCAGGACCTTGTGATGCAGCTACGAGCGCTCGTCCTCCCGCTGCTCCACGGCGTCATCGATGATACCTCCTCGGTCGCCTAGATCGCCGTCCAGCTCTTTGATGAAGTGATCGGCTGCAACATAGGCTACGCTTGAAGGGTGCCTCATGAGTACTGGAGGCAGAGGCGGATCTTTGGGGGAGCCCGTCGACGACAAGTCGTTGGTGAGGAAGAATAGCACTCCTACTAATGGTGAGAAGACGGAGGAGCAAGCGCGATTGGAGAATCAGCCTAATAGCGTTGGTCAAAAGAGAACGTGTGATTCGATGAATATCAGATGCGATCAACTTGTTTTATTACCAGTATGTCCATATAATCCAGCTTGTTGTAACATCTATATGCATCAACTGATTCTACATATGTATCTAGGAGGAACAACGACAAGCGATCAAGGTCCCTTGTTACACATGTTCCACACTATGATGGCCATCTGTGCAGAAAATATGGGCAGAAGAACATCAATGGGAGGAAACATCCAAGGTAAATAATATATCTATCGATCTCTTATATACGTCGATCATCACATTCTTCATCATCCAGAAAACAAGCTGCTTACAGTTATTGCATGATCATGAGCAGATTTGACTGTCCTTTAACTTGTGATCAAATTCTTACTATACATATATGATCTCTAGCAAATCGACAAACTATTATAATAGACACACATATATGGTAATAGTAACCATATCACATGAACTTGTATTCAATTAATCAGGAGCTACTACAGATGTGCCTACAGAGAACGGAACTGCTTAGCAACAAAGACAATTGAGGAACAAGAACCAAATGTCGACGATGGTACCAGTAATAGTGCCATGGCCAGTGAGGAAAGTGCAAAGTACACTGTCGTGTACCACGGTGACCACACTTGCAAGGACCATCATACCATAAGCATGGTCCAGCTTTCCCAACTTGTTGGAAGTATGGATCTTCATAGCACGGAAATGCCTCCAACAAGTACAGATGTTCAAGAGTCTGAGGCAGATTTGGACTTGCCAGCTTTACTAGAGGTGTTCGATAGTTCTCTCATTGATTGGGAGGCACTATACCGCAGCCCCAATGCAGCGACTTCATAGTTCTCTCTGAAGTGCCGACTGATGATTTGTTAGAGATTTGATACCGACAGATAGTGTATCGGCTATCTTCTTTTAACGTCTGTTGTTTGACGCTACTTTGGTGTGTTTGTAGTATAGTGAGGATTGGAATATGTGATATATAAATCTAGTTTATGCACCATGGATTGCAAGATCATGCTAAGCAGAAGGTACAAAGTCTTGTTAGTACACTGGATCCTCAGAATATTTTGTTACCCAATATAGCTTGAATATTTGTACACATGGATAAAATTGGTAGGTTTTAAGCCAGCTTTAGTAAATAGTCATTTTTTGTTTGAGGTGGATTCATTATTAATCAAGGGTCCCTCCCCTAGTTACATGCATACATATCAATTTCCTTTGGATTGTAAACGTGAAAATTGTTTTATTATCTTTTATGAGTATATATATTTTACACATGATCATCGATAACAGACATAAAATCTGCTCTGATGATGGTTCAGAGGACAATTAATGAAAATTTTCAGTATTATAGATACTCTTGTTGATTCCAAATATATAAGCAGTCCTAGTCTTGCTATCAATCGGCTTCATGCATGCTAAATTACTATTTGGCTTCATTTATATGGATATAAAAAAAAGAACTATGTAGTGTTTCCGTGATTAAATTTGCAATAACATGTACTGAAAAAACTGAGAAGTCCTTATATTATGGACGGAGGGAGTATTAGCCAACATATAACTGTACTGTGTGCATGCCAAATGAGCAGAACTTCTAATTCCTGCTTTAAAAGTGCTTTTTAGATGAGACAACGTGTTTGAAGTTTTATTTTGGTTTCTAAGTACGGCTGATAGGATTAAGCATGGAAAGGGAGAAATTAGAAAAAATGACAATTTATGTTGACTACTATTTTTTTGTGATTAATTTATGCTGACTACTAGTATAGTACAAAGGAACAGAATGCCTTGAAATTGTAGAAAAAAATGTAAAAGTTGATAGAGCTTATATTTGGGATCAGAGAGACTGTAAGATCACTATTTGGCAATGAACCGTACTTATTATGTGATCAATAATATCAGACCTTAAGCCTCTGAGGTTAATCCCACTCAAATAGATGGGATGATGCTCATAGAATTACTAATCACGAGTTTCACTTTTTTTTACTACAGTTATTCATGAGTGGTATGGTGGCATTAATGCCGACAGACTAAACTCCCACACTATGTAGAATTTTATATACTCAATTAATGAAAAATACTATAAACCAATTAACCACTTACAAACAATAGTCACATAGGGATACCGTCTATCTTCTACCGTACTATGTACATTAGAAGGGACATTTACTTGTTTGACAAGGTTAGTGTTTGTGATGTCCAACCTTTGATCTAGTGTGTGGAAAATCATGCCCAAAGCAATTAATCCACTTATATACGTCGGTCGGCATGAAGAAAGAAATGTTTTAGTACGTTGTGGTACTAAGCTCCGAAACAGAGATCAAAGCGTACACTTCTTTTTCTTTAAATATTTTGAAGTTGATCGTTCACTCCAAATTAATTAACTAAGAACTAGCTAATGCCCTTGGAAATTCAATCAAAATACTGTATGTGATGCAAACCATTTTTCAATTATTATAGTCGCCGGCAACGTGGACTAGCAATACATCCTATGCCTAAACAATCTCAGTGAATTTGCAGGCGGGACCAGTCGATGAGCTTATGAAAGCGACTTATATAACATCACATATATGTATAAGCTGTACATTCATATGAAAGTGTTGAGTTTATTACCCAACGTCACGACCCATGTTGGAGTGACGCTCTTGTGGTTACATGAGCTTGTTTGCGTTAGTAAGCGTGCATGATGATAGTCTAAACTTAGTCTCAATGGGGTGCATGCATGACCGGAATAAATATGTCCAGGCAGAGTTTGATTAGACATGAATGTGCTAATTCGATCTGTTAGACGCTCCTAGTCAATAGTATATATAGGTGGCACTTAGATCATTCCTTTGGCCAGGCATGGTAGTTTTGCTACCTTGTGTTATGTGTAGAAGAATAGAATTAGGTGAAACTGGATTATTTGCATTGAGCCTCTCGAATATGGTATATACAATGTGCATAGCTTAGGGGTCCAGCTTGTACACGGGATTGTAATCCCAACTAACTCTATCATAGTCGTGATACATTATAACATCCCCGCATTCACAGTTAGAGCATTGCAGATAGTGAGACTAGAGAAGAAGGCAAAGGTGTAAATCGGTGATCTAACATCCCCCACAATCTGAACTGTCAATGTGTCGCTCATGCTCATGCAAACATAGTAGTTCTTTGTGCCAATGTCGAGATGGCGAAGTAGCTATGGTCAAAGATGTCGAGTTGGAGATAGATGCGGTCCATGTAGCCATGGTTTGGTTGCCGATGTTGAGATGGTCTCACATGAAGCCGCGGGTGTAAAAGGGGAGCCATGCATAGTGTTGACAGAGATACCTCGAGGCAGTCTTCATAGAAGGAGGCAATGCTGAGGTAGATGTAGTCAGGACTATCGATGACGTAGATGAAAGATGATGATGGAATTGAGGCAGATGGGATGGTTACGGAGTGTCAATGCCGAAGTCAATGCAGTCATGCTGCCATGGATGACGCGTGCGCTGGGGTTGCTAGGCCCAGGAACGTGTCAAGGATGAAGGCACGCACCAGTGTTGCAAATACTAGATATACTAGGAGGATGGCCCCAACCATATGTCTAAGGGACTAGTAGAGAGGGCCTCGATAATGGCTGCGGTGCACAGAACAGTGAGGGTAGAAGATGCTGATGGAGCCATTATTGTCAGAGTAGACAAAATATGCGGGGAAGAGACGGAAATGCTAGCAATGAGCGAGGTTGTACTAAATGAAAAAGAAGTTGTGCGGGAGCTAGTGCTCCTGTGCGAAGGTGAGCAATCAGTGTGGACACTCCTACCTAAAGGCAAGTAGTCTAGATGCAAAGTATGGCGGCGGCGGTAGCGCTCGATGTCGGTGATGAAGATCGGGTGTAGACTAGTGCCTTGCTTGAGGCATAGCATGCAGTGGTGATACAATTCGAGGAGGCGACATAATAGCAATCCTATTGCTTGGAGTAGATGTATGATACTCAATGAAGAACAATGTCATGGGAGCCGGGTGGATTGTGTATAATCGACTATCAAACTAAGTATGCGTGAGGTGAGACGACAATGAAAGAAGTCATACGAGGCATCTGATCTGTGGTGGCGATGATGAAATAGCGTTGAAAACATGCCGGCCGGGAACTAGGAAACAGTGCATGGAGGTGTCCCATCAGCATGTATGCCTAACTTGGTCGCACAATCGAAGAAGTAGAGGCCAGTATACTCAATGCTGATGTTAGAGAAGTACTACACACGATGTCAATAGGCAGTGGTGACTCAACCCCGACCAATGGTCATGTAAACCAAAAAAGGGATACACGTAGTAACAGATCAAAAATTGGGTACAACACCGGATGCCCATATAGCAAACATACCCCCACTCACACCCACACCCACCACAACGCGAGGCGGTAGGCTCTCATATGGATGGGGTAGGCAATGAATGGAGTCGTCCCAATGTTGACAGGATCTAGCCACTAGCCTGGGAGGCAGAGGAGGAGCAAAGGCTAAACGGGAGTCCTCCTGTGGTGGGTTCCCGGTTCGGATCAGATGGATCCCGATGGTGCAAGAGGTAGTAGTGACATTGCAAAGATGGCATGGGTCAATGATAAGCTCTTGATGCAGAGTGGTGGGGTGGTTCCTGATCTGCCCACGCTAAGGTGCCAAATGGCGGTAGAGGAAGGCGTTGACTTGGCGGCACTAGAGCACATGGTTTAGACGCTGTTTGACTCGACTACTACCACAACTATTTGTGATTGGGTCCATCCACCACCACAGCATTGTGGGCACGAGGTGCAGTCCATTGATGAAGATTTAGACAGAGGCTACCTGTGCAACGAGATGAATCACTACTACACAAACTTTAACCGAGGTGGGCAAAACAGATTAACCGAGGCGGGCATCACGTTCGCCTTGAACTAAAGCTCACGATTAATTGTGATTTACCGAGGCCGGTTAATACCCGCCTCGGCAAATCAAATAAAAAAAGAAAAAAAGAAAACCCGTGGACAAGCCCAGTGAGCCCACCCACGGGCCCGTTAAGCCCATCCACGGGCCGCCGCCACCGTTGCTTGTTCGATCCACCGTCAGGGCGCATCCTCCACTGTCAAGCCGGATCAGGCCTCCCCGCCGCTGAAGTTGACACAGAGGTGGCGGAGGAGCGCCGCCGCCTAGGGAGCTAAAGCCGAAGGAGCGCCACCACGTCCGCGCCGCCAGATCCGGGGTTCCTCCTCGCCCGCGCTCGCCGGATCCATGATCTGGGATGGGCCTGAGAGAGAGGGAGGGAGTGAGGGATGGGAGGGCCCCCCCCGTGCTCAGGGAGGGAGGGAAGGGAGGGGCACCGTGCCAAAGGGAAGGGAGGGGCACCACCGCCGACCGCCGTGCTAAGGGAGGGAGGGGAGGGGAGGGAGGCGCCGCTCAGGGAGGGAGGGAGGTGCCGCTCAGGGAGCCCGAAAGAGAGAGAGAGAGATGTGAGGTAGAGAGAAACCCTAAGTGTCCTATATATACTTGAGTGCCCTATCGGGCCTCGCCTGGGCCTGTTTGGGCCTCGGCCTTTTTTACCGAGGCAGGCCATTTAGGAGGTCCGCCTCCGAAAATGGAGGCATTTTCTTATAAGGCCCGCCTCCGTTAATAGATTTTAGGAGACAGATATTTTTTGACTACCTCCGTAAATCAATTTTGCGATGTGGTTAATTGTGACCGCCTCTGTTAATCCTAGGCATTAACCGAGGCGGTTGGATTTTGTAAACGCCTTGGTTAATAAAAGGGCACTGTCTCGCAAAATCATTTGTGTAGTAGTGAATGAAGGTGGATCCAATCAGCGGATCTAGGCCATAGTGGTATGGTGAAAGGATGGCAAGGATGGCACGAAGT